TTTGTGATAAGTATTTTACAGGAATTTGCAAAATTAAAAATAAATTCTGTCAATAATAAGTCAGTTAAAAGTTATGGACTTAATACTTTGGACTGTAGTAATTTTTGTTCATAATGATAAACGCTATGATATAAAACGACTGCAGTCAAATTGATAAACCGAAAAAATTCACTTCTAACTTCAATTCCGATTTTCTTTCCTCATACTTTATATGCAAATGCTTTACAGCTAGAAACCTAAAGGGGTTGGGTGTTCATAGCAACTATGTCACCTTGTCACCCTAAAATATGCTGCCCCCAGCCAGTTAATGCAATTTCATATCGTCTTAAAACATATACCATCCAATTGGTTGGAAATGTTTCACTCCAAATAAATTCAAGTATAACTGCAAACTGGTTAAACTGGCTACTTTTCCGTAATTCACCCCAGAAACCGCATTGACCAATTGGCATACGATTAATATTGCAAATAGAAAGCAGAAAAWATTATCTGATCTGCCAATAATTTTTCGAATTTCACAGAACTTTGAAATATTTTCTTTTTTCCACACACACAAACGCATTTGCATTTCTGAGTATGGAAGGCGCAGTGGTCCAGCTGCTCAACTAAATTTAGTTAGAAATTTGAAATAAGCAAATGAATTTCAGCACATTCTCCTACACACAATCACATATAAATACATGTATACGTGCATGTGTATAGATTGTTACATAAGTAATAGTAGCGCTTCGCATTTATCGTTCACAGGGCATATGTTCTTTGAGGCAGTCTCGTTGACTTCTAATGTCGAATGCTTTAATGTGCCTGCATATATGTGATAGCAATGCATTAATATAAGTGTATGTGCAGTTAAGTGTTGGAAAAATAGTCGCCTGAAGTTACCAGCATTTTGCATATCAAACACGTTTCCCCCCACAAACACACAAGTGAATATTTTTGTTTGCTTGCACGCAGACCAGCCGAAAATTGCACTTTCGATCTGACCGGGCTCCATTTTTTTTTTTTTTGCCAGTAGAGATGCCGTCAGTATGCAACACTTGCCACCACCTTTATTCCTGCACTGCTTTCTCAATTACACATAAATATCCCTATATAAGTCAAAACTGACTCACTTTATCCAAATGCCTCAACAACTAAAGATGGAAAGCAGCAAAAAAATCAATAGTAGTATAATAAGAAGAAAAATGTTGACACTGTAGATTTTTCCTACCGGCATGTTATCTCTAAACAAACAGACATAGTATTTGCACATCTGCAGCTGAGGAGTATGGCAACTCGTTCAAAAAGTGTAAATAAGTCGGACAAGTACTCACCACAGCTGTGTGGTCAATCGGCCGCAAAAACTCCACTACTTCTCAGCTCAAAGGCCATGCCAAACGATGGAGAGTTCAGTGTTACAAATTTTGAGGAAGAAAAGCAAAACTGCTAATTCCGTCAGAGCGCTTAAGTGCTACTGTGCGTGTGGGCAGAAATTGCAATTTATGGATTTTCGTTGTCGAATGCATTCAATTAAATGCAAAGTTYCTCTTAAGTAGCATCCGAAAGATAGTTACTTCTGACGATTAAAAACGTAGAAATATTCGGAAATTGTATAAATATTTGAAGAAAGGCGGAAATAAAAAAATCAATAAAAACACTAGGAAACATGTTTAATATGCTCGTTGCTAAGTAAGTAATCAATACTCTAGGCGTATTTGCGCTTAATTGCTGATAACAATTATATTGTTAATTTATAATCGTTATTTTCTATTTAATATGTATAATCCCCTGCAAAGCTCCTCCAATATATCGCCACTAAATCTGTAAATCAGAATGATAGCTAATCAGCTTATCAACAGTTGTTGGCCTTTTCGAAATCAAAAAAAAAAGTAAACTCCTTGGATGTGAGATAAGATTGGCTGATTAACAGCTATGACCATTGTGACAAAAATATATGCCTATATATGTATAGKCTGATATACTACTAGTTTAGCGTTTCATATTTGCTGCGAAATTTTCATAGAAAATGCCCCAAATTCATTACCAGATATACAGCTATAGATAAGCCTATTTATTATACTAACGGGCCAGGGTTTTATACAACGAAACAAGTTTTCTCTCTTCTCCTTTTGAAAAAAATTTTGTCGACTAAACGAATGGGTATTACTCCTCAAAACGATGAATGAAGTGGTAGATTAAATATATTTATTGTTATTTTTTCCTATATTTGCTTATAATCTGATTCAACTTCTGTCTAAATCTTTCTAATGCTTCAACATCCTTGAGATCCTGTTAAAGCTCCTACTTGAACGTACTTTAACTTTCTTGAACAGATTATATCAAGTTTTTCACGATGTTTGTAATACYCATAAGGAAACKGGGAAGATCCTGTAACGCATATAATATTATATATAAATATGATATATACTACGCCCTCAATTTTTAGGATATCGTTTTAAAATTTTTTACATGYCCTTTTCTCACTATACAGCTGCCTATTTGCGGGACTTTTGATATCGGATCACTMTGCATACATCTTTCGTACAAACTAAACGATCGAAATCAAGTCTTTTTTTATGAGAATGAATTGTCCACATCACACAACTGTAGTATRCAAACTGACCGATCAAACTCAAGRAATTTTGCATATATCACTGTGGAGCATTTTTGGGATTATTGTCTGGGGGGTGAGAAATTCGAAGTCAGGGTGATGGTACTAGGTCAGTATAGTAAAACCCTCAAAGGGGTTGGCGTTCGTATGTGTAATTTTTTTTTGTATGACCTTATGGCCCCTTTTTTCCTTATCTTGATGTTTATCTTGATGTTTTTCCGCATTGTTGGGAAAGCATCGTTCTACTATGTTTTTGTCGCAAGGATGTTAAGAGCATTCTCGGAAATTGTTTTTTTTTTTTCAAAATGTTACAACTAAGCGAAAAAACATCAAGATAAGGAAAAAAGGGGTCATAAGGTCAAAGGGTCATAAAAAAAACTGACACATACGAACGCCAAAGGGGAGGGTTTTACTATACTGACCTTGTACCATCACCCTGACTTGGAATTTCTCACCCCCCCGATTAGCTGTTGTACTGTGTATTCATTTTGAAGGCATAGCTGCAATCTCCTAATAAATTATCCAAGCTGTTCAAAATCAAGAAAACTATTTTTTATATCCTTTTATACTACAAAAAATGCATTTGTGATGGGTATTATAGCTTCGGTACAGCCGTAGTTTTTT